CCAGACTGTTCTTCCTCCACTCTCTGCCTGCCCTAGTGGAGCACTGCCAGACTGTTCTTCCTCCACTCTCTGCCTGCCCTAGTGGAACACTGCCAGACTGTTCTTCCTCCACTCTCTGCCTGCCCTAGTGGAGCACTGCCAGACTGTTCTTCCTCCACTCTCTGCCTGCCCTAGTGGAGCACTGCCAGACTGTTCTTCCTCCACTCTCTGCCTGCCCTAGTGGAGCCTGCCAGACTGTTCTTCCTCCACTCTCTGCCTGCCCTAGTGGAGCACTGCCAGACTGTTCTTCCTCCACTCTCTGCCTGCCCTAGTGGAGCACTGCCAGACTGTTCTTCCTCCACTCTCTGCCTGCCCTAGTGGAGCACTGCCAGACTGTTCTTCCTCCACTCTCTGCCTGCCCTAGTGGAGCACTGCCAGACTGTTCTTCCTCCACTCTCTGCCTGCCCTAGTGGAGCACTGCCAGACTGTTCTTCCTCCACTCTCTGCCTGCCCTAGTGGAACACTGCCAGACTGTTCTTCCTCCACTCTCTGCCTGCCCTAGTGGAGCACTGCCAGACTGTTCTTCCTCCACTCTCTGCCTGCCCTAGTGGAGCACTGCCAGACTGTTCTTCCTCCACTCTCTGCCTGCCCTAGTGGAGCACTGCCAGACTGTTCTTCCTCCACTCTCTGCCTGCCCTAGTGGAGCACTGCCAGACTGTTCTTCCTCCACTCTCTGCCTGCCCTAGTGGAGCACTGCCAGACTGTTCTTCCTCCACTCTCTGCCTGCCCTAGTGGAGCACTGCCAGACTGTTCTTCCTCCACTCTCTGCCTGCCCTAGTGGAGCACTGCCAGACTGTTCTTCCTCCACTCTCTGCCTGCCCTAGTGGAGCACTGCCAGACTGTTCTTCCTCCACTCTCTGCCTGCCCTAGTGGAGCACTGCCAGACTGTTCTTCCTCCACTCTCTGCCTGCCCTAGTGGAGCACTGCCAGACTGTTCTTCCTCCACTCTCTGCCTGCCCTAGTGGAGCACTGCCAGACTGTTCTTCCTCCACTCTCTGCCTGCCCTAGTGGAGCACTGCCAGACTGTTCTTCCTCCACTCTCTGCCTGCCCTAGTGGAGCACTGCCAGACTGTTCTTCCTCCACTCTCTGCCTGCCCTAGTGGAGCACTGCCAGACTGTTCTTCCTCCACTCTCTGCCTGCCCTAGTGGAGCACTGCCAGACTGTTCTTCCTCCACTCTCTGCCTGCCCTAGTGGAGCACTGCCAGACTGTTCTTCCTCCACTCTCTGCCTGCCCTAGTGGAGCACTGCCAGACTGTTCTTCCTCCACTCTCTGCCTGCCCTAGTGGAACACTGCCAGACTGTTCTTCCTCCACTCTCTGCCTGCCCTAGTGGAGCACTGCCAGGCTGTTCTTCCTCCACTCTCTGCCTGCCCTAGTGGAACACTGCCAGACTGTTCTTCCTCCACTCTCTGCCTGCCCTAGTGGAACACTGCCAGACTCTTCTTCCTCCACTCTCTGCCTGCCCTAGTGGAGCACTGCCAGGCTGTTCTTCCTCCACTCTCTGCCTGCCCTAGTGGAGCACTGCCAGACTGTTCTTCCTCCACTCTCTGCCTGCCCTAGTGGAGCACTGCCAGACTGTTCTTCCTCCACTCTCTGCCTGCCCTAGTGGAGCACTGCCAGGCTGTTCTTCCTCCACTCTCTGCCTGCCCTAGTGGAGCACTGCCAGGCTGTTCTTCCTCCACTCTCTGCCTGCCCTAGTGGAGCACTGCCAGACTCTTCTTCCTCCACTCTCTGCCTGCCCTAGTGGAGCACTGCCAGACTGTTCTTCCTCCACTCTCTGCCTGCCCTAGTGGAACACTGCCAGACTGTTCTTCCTCCACTCTCTGCCTGCCCTAGTGGAGCACTGCCAGGCTGTTCTTCCTCCACTCTCTGCCTGCCCTAGTGGAGCACTGCCAGACTGTTCTTCCTCCACTCTCTGCCTGCCCTAGTGGAGCACTGCCAGACTGTTCTTCCTCCACTCTCTGCCTGCCCTAGTGGAGCACTGCCAGGCTGTTCTTCCTCCACTCTCTGCCTGCCCTAGTGGAGCACTGCCAGACTGTTCTTCCTCCACTCTCTGCCTGCCCTAGTGGAACACTGCCAGACTCTTCTTCCTCCACTCTCTGCCTGCCCTAGTGGAGCACTGCCAGGCTGTTCTTCCTCCACTCTCTGCCTGCCCTAGTGGAGCACTGCCAGGCTGTTCTTCCTCCACTCTCTGCCTGCCCTAGTGGAACACTGCCAGACTGTTCTTCCTCCACTCTCTGCCTGCCCTAGTGGAGCACTGCCAGACTCTTCTTCCTCCACTCTCTGCCTGCCCTAGTGGAGCACTGCCAGGCTGTTCTTCCTCCACTCTCTGCCTGCCCTAGTGGAGCACTGCCAGACTGTTCTTCCTCCACTCTCTGCCTGCCCTAGTGGAGCACTGCCAGACTGTTCTTCCTCCACTCTCTGCCTGCCCTAGTGGAGCACTGCCAGGCTGTTCTTCCTCCACTCTCTGCCTGCCCTAGTGGAGCACTGCCAGGCTGTTCTTCCTCCACTCTCTGCCTGCCCTAGTGGAGCACTGCCAGGCTGTTCTTCCTCCACTCTCTGCCTGCCCTAGTGGATCACTGCCAGACTGTTCTTCCTCCACTCTCTGCCTGCCCTAGTGGAGCACTGCCAGGCTGTTCTTCCTCCACTCTCTGCCTGCCCTAGTGGAGCACTGCCAGGCTGTTCTTCCTCCACTCTCTGCCTGCCCTAGTGGAGCACTGCCAGACTGTTCTTCCTCCACTCTCTGCCTGCCCTAGTGGAGCACTGCCAGGCTGTTCTTCCTCCACTCTCTGCCTGCCCTAGTGGAACACTGCCAGACTGTTCTTCCTCCACTCTCTGCCTGCCCTAGTGGAGCACTGCCAGACTGTTCTTCCTCCACTCTCTGCCTGCCCTAGTGGAACACTGCCAGACTGTTCTTCCTCCACTCTCTGCCTGCCCTAGTGGAACACTGCCAGACTGTTCTTCCTCCACTCTCTGCCTGCCCTAGTGGAGCACTGCCAGACTGTTCTTCCTCCACTCTCTGCCTGCCCTAGTGGAACACTGCCAGACTGTTCTTCCTCCACTCTCTGCCTGCCCTAGTGGAGCACTGCCAGACTGTTCTTCCTCCACTCTCTGCCTGCCCTAGTGGAGCACTGCCAGACTGTTCTTCCTCCACTCTCTGCCTGCCCTAGTGGAGCACTGCCAGACTGTTCTTCCTCCACTCTCTGCCTGCCCTAGTGGAGCACTGCCAGACTGTTCTTCCTCCACTCTCTGCCTGCCCTAGTGGAGCACTGCCAGGCTGTTCTTCCTCCACTCTCTGCCTGCCCTAGTGGAGCGCTGCCAGGCTGTTCTTCCTCCACTCTCTGCCTGCCCTAGTGGAGCACTGCCAGGCTGTTCTTCCTCCACTCTCTGCCTGCCCTAGTGGAGCACTGCCAGGCTGTTCTTCCTCCACTCTCTGCCTGCCCTAGTGGAGCGCTGCCAGGCTGTTCTTTCTCCACTCTCTGCCTGCCCTAGTGGAGCACTGCCAGGCTGTTCTTCCTCCCACTCTGCCTGCCCTAGTGGAACACTGCCAGACTGTTCTTCCTCCCACTCTGCCTGCCCTAGTGGAGCACTGCCAGACTGTTCTTCCTCCCACTCTGCCTGCCCTAGTGGAGCACTGCCAGACTGTTCTTCCTCCCACTCTGCCTGCCCTAGTGGAGCACTGCCAGACTGTTCTTCCTCCCTCTCTGCCTGCCCTAGTGGAGCACTGCCAGACTGTTCTTCCTCCCACTCTGCCTGCCCTAGTGGAGCACTGCCAGACTGTTCTTCCTCCCACTCTGCCTGCCCTAGTGGAGCACTGCCAGACTGTTCTTCCTCCCACTCTGCCTGCCCTAGTGGAGCACTGCCAGACTGTTCTTCCTCCACTCTCTGCCTGCCCTAGTGGAGCATGCCAGGCTGTTCTTCCTCCACTTCTGCCTGCCCTATGCTAAGATTTGCCAGCATGTTCCTTCCTCCTCTCTGCCTGCCCTCTTGTGAACTTCCAGAGATCTTCCTCCACCTCTCTGCCTGCCCTAGTGGAGCGCTCTGTTCTTTCTCCACTCTCTGCCTGCCCTAGTGGAGCACTGCCAGACTGTTCTTCCTCCCACTCTGCCTGCCAGACTTTCTGGACGTTCACTGGGCGATAGAGTGGTTTCTTCCTCCCACTCTGGAAAAGTTGTTCAATGTTCAACCAATATTTTTTCCTTGGCCTCGCGATGCTAAGATTTTCCAGCATTTCCTCATAACAATCTGGCTCTTGTGAAAGAGTGCTGAAGAGTGGTTTCGTCCCAATATTTTTTGACTTTCAGTACAGTACTGCAGCGTAAATAGAAAGGGAGATTTTTTTCAACGTTTTTTTACACATTTTCAAGTCTACACTTCAGAACACACGTTTCAGATATAATTATTCTGTGACACTTTTCTGACACATTAGCATATAATAAAGGATTGCTAGTTAGATAATTTCCAAAACATCTTTAATTTTCCTAATACAAATTTTCAAAGTTTCCCCCAAAAATTATGCAAATATGGCATGTATATTGCTATTATAAAATCAATAAATGAACTTAGAGAAAAAAGCTCTCTAGCAAATGTAGAGACATGCCCTCCACATATACTGTGTAAGTTTCATGTAAATTGAATAAAAAATGAAACAGTTTTGTAAACGTTTATGTCAATTGAGAAAAAAACAGAAATTAATAAAGTCTAAGGTTCTAAAATCTGTGGCTGAGGTTGACATCAACCAATTTTCTCCAAAATTGGCATCCTTACAGATAGACTTACGTGCAGTCAGGTGTGTAAGTTTGATGCAAATCGTCCGAAAAAAAAATTGAAAAAAAGATAAAAAATACAATTTTTGTTTTCTTAAAAAAATATTTCCAATTAAACTAATTATAATATTTGTTTAATATATGCTATTGTGATAGCAAAGAGTCATAGCTATGATTTCAGTTGACACTTTTGTTTGATAATCGATTTTGACCATTTTGGCATAATTTTCACAACTACTTCAATATTTTTTTTCTCCCTTCCTATTTATGCTACGATGCTGAAACTTGGACCAGATGAAACACTTTTCATATAAAACTTGTCAAAAAAGTTTGATTGAAATCGAACGAGTTTTCATTTATTGCATTTTTGGAACCAAACGCCCCCTTCATATTCACAGCCGTGTCCAACATCACTTTCCTTTTCAGCCCGGCCATTACTATACGAGTACTGGAATACTTGATGATATATTGGACTTGTACCCAAGATTAACCATGTAATGTATCAATTATACAATGTATGTGATGTAACGAAGAAAATAGTCAGTGATATTCAAATGAATGTTTTAGCTGCTAAAGAAAACAAATTTGAAATTAAATTCCTATGGATACCATCACATGTTGGCATCTCAAGGCATGACACTGTTCATATGCTTGCAAAGACAGCCTGTAGAAAACCAGTGGTAGAAATTGATATGGGTGTTTCATTAGCAGTGACAAAGAGAATACTTAAACAAATATCTAATGAAGATCTCACAGACCTACAAATTCTCAAAGACCGGAAAGTTGTACCATTAAATATTATGATAGATATCGTGAGGAGACATTCACATATGGGACTAATAGAACAAGAACCCGGCAATGTGATGTTATAGTGGCCAGAATACGCCTGGGATATAGACGTATCTGGCAGCTTTCTCAAAACCCAAATGTCGAGTACACAATGTGTCAACTTTGTGAAAGAGAAAACATGCACTCTCTTGAACTTGCACTCTATTGTAGAATGTCCCATACTGACTGACTTTCGCCCTCCTGGGCTAAGGTATGCTGAACTCTGTAGTTACTATATGAGTACTGGAACACTTGATGATATATTGGACTTGTACCTAAGTTTAACCATGTAATGTATCAATTATACAATTTATGTATGTGATGTAACCATATAACCTGAGCTTGTAAAAGCACCTTCATCACCTTTCAGTGATTAAGTGCTTAATTGCACACTAGTTTCCCTATCGGCTATCTCACCCTGTCAGAGTAAAAGAGACAAATGTATGTGAATGCATGTGTGTGTGTTATATGTATGTATGTATATGTACGCATATGTGTGTGCGTGTGTGTATATGTATGTGTATAAAGTATATATGGAAGCTGATCAGAATTACATTTCACCTTTGTAAATGCACATTAATGACACTATGTAAAAGACACATCGAACACTTTATGTAGGGCACACGTAAATCTGTGTATTTATGTATTTACGTATGTAGGTTAGCTTAGCATTTTAAAAGCACCGAATCACCTTCTGTGGTTGATTGTTCAATAAACCCTTGAACACTATGTTTAACACATCTATAACCCTGTCCATTGAGTACAGAAGAAAATATATATATGTGGTTAGCATTGTAAATGTGTGGCCACGTCTGTGGTAGAAAATAATAATAATAATAAAACTTTCTCTGGCTACTGCAAGCCTATGTACAGTGTTGTGTACTTTCACTTCTTTTCCTACCATCCTGCTCCTTTTAAGAAGTGTTCTCGTGTTCTCGTGTCTCACTCTTCCACCACTCCCAGCGCATCAGTCACCCTCACTTTCTCCACTCTCAAATTTAACTCCAAGTCTTTCTCTCGACTTGGTCATCTCTTAAACTGAATAAACTGTGGCTATTGTAAAGCCTAAATAACTTTGTTTCGTGCTAAACCTGCGTCCAACACTTGCAACATTGTGTTATGTCGTGTCTTCATATCTGACCTTCAGTCTCAGAAGTAACCTTTGTCCTGCTGACGTAAAGCTCACCTTTGGGTTGACCAACATTCTTCACAGTCAGTGGTTCACAGCTCCTACTGTGTCAGTGCTACTGGTTATCTTGAGGTTATCTTGAGATGATTTCGGGGCTTTAGTGTCCCCGCGGCCCGGTCCTCGACCAGGCCTCCACCCCCAGGAAGCAGCCCGTGACAGCTGACTAACACCCATGTACCTATTTTACTGCTAGGTAACAGGGGCATAGGGTGAAAGAAAGTTTGCCCATTGTTTCTCGCCGGCGCCTGGGATCGAACCCAGGACCACAGGATCACAAGTCCAGTGTGCTGTCCGCTCGGCCGACCGGCTCCCGTGTCTACTGTTTCCGGATACTCTTGTCCTCTCCAACACTATGCTGAAGATGGTAGTGCTCTTAATGAATGCTCTAGCAGATAACCTTGTCGCAAGTAATGCTCTCCTCCTGTCATGTTATGGACTCGCATCAACCTATTTAAAGTTGTGTGTGATGTTTGAAGATAGGAGAGAGTTGTGTTGTGTTACAGGGTAACCACGGGGAGGATGTGAAGGAGCTGTACTACTACCTGGACTCCACGCCCACCCACTCCTACATGAAGTACCTGTACAAGTACCCGCACCTCGCCTACCCGTACTCTGACCTCGTCCACACCAACACCGCCCGCACCGTCCACCACCCCGAGTACGAGCTCCAGGATACGGGTGAGTATAGAGCAGGGGTGAGGCTAACCTGGCATGTCCCCCCCCCCCCGCCACAACCACCACAACCTGGCTAACCTGCCCCCCCACACCACCACCACCTGGCTAACCTGCCCCCCCACCACCACCTGGCTAACCTGCCCCCCCCACCACCACCACCACCTGGCTAACCTGCCCCCCCCACCACCACCTGGCTAACCTGCCCCCCCACCACCACCTGGCTAACCTGCCCCCCCCCCACCTGCCACCACCACCACAAGTGGCTAACCTGCCCCCCACCACCACCACCGCCACTTGGCTAACCTGCCCCCACCACCACCACCACTTGGCTAACCTGCCCCCCCCCCCACCACCACCACCTGGCTAACCTGCCCCCACCACCACCACCACCTGGCTAACCTGCCCCCACCACCACCTGGCTAACCTCCCCCCCACCACCACCACCTGGCTAACTTGCCCCCTCCTCCACCACCACCTGGCTAACCTGCCCCCTCTCCCCCCCACCACCACCTGGCTGACCTGCCCCTCCCCACCACCTAGCTAACATGCCCCTCCCCCCACCACCACCAACACCTGGCTAACCTGCCCCCACCACCACCACCACCACTTGGCTAACCTGCCCCACCACCACCACCACCACCACCTGGCTAACCTGCGCCCCCCACCACCACCACCTGGCTAACCTGCCCCGACCATCACCTGGCTAACCTGCCCCCCCCACCACCACCACTACCACCACCACTTGGCTAACCTGTTCCTCCCCACCACCACCACCACCACCACCACTTGGCTAACCTGCCCCCACCCACCACCACCACCACCTGGCTAACCTGCCCCCCCACCACCACCACCTGGCTAACTTGCCCCCCCCACCACCACCACCACCCGGCTAACCTGCCCCCACCACCACCTGGCTAACCTCCCCCCCCACCACCACCTGGCTAACCTGCCCCCCCACCACCACCTGGCTAACCTGCCCCCACCACCACCACCACCACCACCACTTGACTAACCTGCCCCCACCATCACCACCACCACCTGGCTAACCTGCCCCCACCAACACCACCACCACCACCTGGTTAACCTGCCACCCACCACCACCACCACATGGCTAACCTGCCACCCCCACCATCACCACCACCTGGCTAACCTGCCCCCACCACCACCATCACCACCACCACCACCTGGCAAACCGGCCCCCCCCACCACCACCACCACTTGGCTATCCTCCCCCCCCCACCACCACCACCTGACTAACCTGCCCCCCACCACCACCACCACCATCTGGCTAACCTGCCCCCCATACCACCACCATCACCTCCACTTGGCTAACCTGCCCCCCCCATCACCACCATTTGGCTACCCTGCCCCCACCACCACCTGGCCAACCTGCCCCCCCACCATCACCACCTGGCTAACCTGCCCCCCCCACCACCACCTGGCTAACCTGCCCCCCACCACCACCTGGCTAACCTGCCCCCCCCACCACCACCACCACCTGGCTAACCTGTCCCCCACCACCACCTGGCTAACCTGCCCCCCACCACCACCACCTGGCTAACCTGCCCCCCCACCACCACCACCACCTGGCTAACCTGCCCCCCCATACCACCACCATCACCTCCACTGGCTACCATCACCGCCAGGTTAGCCACCTGGCTAACCTCCCCCCCCCCACCACCACCACCTGGCTAACCTGCCACCCACCACCACCACCACCACCTGGCTAACCTGCCCTCCACCACCACCACCTGGCTAACCTGTCCACCCCACCACCACCTGGATACCTGCCCCCACCACCACCAACACCTGGCTAACCCTCCCCACCACCACCACCACCTGGCTAACCTGCCCCCCCCCACCACAACCTGGCTAACATGCCCCCCCCACCACCACCTGGCTAACCTGCCCCCCACCACTACCACCTGGCTAACCTCCCCTCCCCCCACCACCACCTGGCTAACCTGCCCCCACCACCACTACCACCTGGCTAGCCTGCCCTTCCCCCCCACCATCAACACCTGGCTAACCTGCCCCCCCACCACCACCACCTGGCTAACCTGCCCCCAAAACCACCACCACCTGGCTAGCCTGCCCTTTCCCGCACCATCACCACGTGGCTAACCTGCTCCCCCCCCCCACCACGACCTGGCTAACCTGCCCTCCCCACCACCACCACCTCCGCCACTACCAGGCTAACCTGCCTTTCCCCCCCACCACCTCCACCTGGTTAACCTGCTCCCCCCCACCACCTGGCTAAACTGCTCTTCCACCCCCACCACCACCTGGCTAACCTGCCCCCCACCACCACCACCTGGCTAACCTGCCCCCCCACCACCACCACCTGGCTAACTCCCCCCCCCACCACCACCTGGCTAACCTGCCCCCCCACCACCACCACCACCACCTGGCTAACCTGCCCCCCGCCACCACCACCAACTGGCTTTTCTGCCCCACCACCACCACCAGGCTAATCTGCCCCCCGCCACCCCCCACCACCTGGCTAACCTGCCCCCACCACCACTACCTTGCTAAACTGCCCTTCCCCCCCCACCATCACCTGGCTAACCTGCCCCCCCCCCACCACCACCACCTGGCTAAATTCCCCCCACCACCACCTGGTTAACCTGCCCCCCACCAACACCACCACCACCTGGCTAACCTGCCCCCCGCCACCACCACCACCACCACCTGGCTAACCTGCACCCCACCACCACCACCACCACCTGGCTAACCTGCCCCCCCACCACCACCACCACCTGGCTAACCTTTCCCCCACCACCACCACCACCTGGCTAACCTGGCCCCCCACCACCAACATCTGGCTAACCTCCCCCCACCACCACCTGGCTAACCTGCACCCCCCCCCACCACCACCCACCACCTGGCTAACCTGCCCCCCACCACCACCACCAACATCTGGCTAACCTGCCCCCCACCACCACCACCACCTGGCTAACCTGCCCCCACAACCACCACCACCACCTGGCTAACCTGGCCCCCCCACCACCACACCACCTGGCTAACCTGCCCCCACCACCACCTGGCCTAACCTCCACCCCAACCACCACCACCTGGCTAACCTGCCCCCCCCCACCACCACCACCTGGCTAACCTGCCCCCACCACCACCTGGCTAACCTGCCCCCATCACAACCACCTGGCTAACCTGCCCCCACCACCACCACCACCACCTGGCTAACCTGCCCGCCCCCCCACCACCACCTGTCTAACCTGCCCCCCCCCCACCACCACTACCTGGCTAAATTGCCCCCCCCCCACCACCACCACCTGGCTAACCTGTCCCCCCCCACCACCACCTGGCTAAACTGCCCTTCCCCCCCCCCACCACCACCACCTGGCTAACCTGTCCCCCCACCACCACCACCTGGCTAACCTGCCCCCCACCACCACCACCTGGCTAACCTCCCCCCCCCCCACCACCACCACCTGGTTAACCTTCCCCCCCACCACCAACACCACCACCTGGCTAACCTGCCCCCCCCCACCACCACCACCACCAACTGGCTAACCTGCCCCACCACCACAATCTGGCTAATCTGCACCCCCACCACCACCACCATCTGGCTAACCTGCCCCCCCTGCCACCACCTGACTAACCTCCCCCCCCCCCACCACCACCACCACTTCCTGGCTAACCTGCCCCCGACCACCACCACCACCTGGCTAACCTGCCCCCACCACCACCACCACCTGGCTAACCTGCCCCCACCACCACCACCACCACCTGGCTAACCTGCCCCCCCACCACCACCACCACCTGGCTAACCTGCCCTCACCACCACCACCCACCACCACCTGGCTAACCTCCCCCCCCACCACCACCACCTAGCTAACCTGCCCCCCCCCACCACCACCACCACCTGGCTAACCTGCCCCCCCCCACCACCACACCACCTGGCTAACCTGCCCCCCCACCACCACCACCTGGCTAACCTGCCCCCCCCACCACCACCACCACCACCTGGCTAACCTGCCCCCCCCACCACCACCACCACCTGGCTAACCTGCCCCCCCCACCACCACCACCACCTGGCTAACCTGCCCCTCCACCACCACCACCACCACCTGGCTAACCTGCACCCCCACCACCACCACCACCTGGCTAACCTGCCCCCCCACCACCACCACCACCTGGCTAACCTGCCCCCCCCCACCACCACCACCTGGCTAACCTGCCCCCCCACCACCACCATCTGGCTAACCTGCCCCCCCACCACCACCACCTGGCTAACCTGGCCCCCCCCACCACCACCACCTGGCTAACCTGCCCCCACCACCACCTGGCTAACCTCCCCCCACCACCACTACCACCACCTGGCTAACCTGCCCCCCCCCACCACCACCACCTGGCTAACCTGCCCCCCCACCACCACCACCGCCACCACCACCTGGCTAACCTTAACTATCCTCCCCCCACAACCACCACCACCTGGCAAACCTGCCCCCACCACCACCACCACCACCACCTGGCTAACCTGTCCCCAACACCACCACCTGCCTTACCTGCCCCCCCCCACCACCACCACCACCACCTGGCTAACCTGCCCCCCACCACCACCACCACCACCTGGCTAACCTGCCCCCCCCACCACCACCACCACCTGGCTAACCTGCCCCCCACCACCACCACCACCACCACCCTGGCTCACCTACCCCCCCACCACCACCTGGCTAACCTGCCCCACCACCACCACCACCACCACCTGGCTAACCTGCCCCCACCACCACCACCACCTGGCTAACCTGCCCCCCACCACCACCACCTCCGCCACTACCTGGCTAACCTGCCCTTCCCCCCCACCACCTCCACCTGGCTAACCTGCCCCCCCCACCACCACCACCTGGCTAACCTGCTCCCCCCACCACCTGGCTAAACTGCCCTTCCCCACCACCACCACCACCTGGCTAACCTGCCCCCCCACCACCACCACCTGGCTAACCTGCCCCCCCACCACCACCACCACCTGGCTAACCTGCCCC